CAGTTAATAGCTTCCTTCTTATGAACAGTCCGTAGACAGAAAGGGCAAGGATTTAGAAAGAGACATTATGCTCAATTGCACATATCATGTTGTCCCTTCCATCATGGTTGTACCTAAAATGAAAACCAACCTTATCTATCGAAAAAAAAACATGAAAATTTTAAATATATATTTATAAATATATATTTAAAAAAAGATCTTTTGCAGATATCTTGATCGCGAAATTTTCTATTAAAAGACTATGTCTCAACTTACAAATAATATAGAAAAATACATATATACAAATGATAAAGTACAATAAAACCGCTGTCGACTATTATTATTTCATCTAATCGTTTCAACAGCAACTACAATTGAAATACGACACAAACAAAGCAAGCACTGATTTGCGTCTATACGTTGTCTATGATGACTCAACTTGATGTCGAATGTGATAAATTGAAGGCAAAAGAATACATCCGCAGGATGTTCTAGAAAATTTATACGATTCAAAGTCATTCGTTTAAAAAAATATCGCATACCATTAATTATCTTGTTACATGATTATTTACTTTTAATATTGAAATTTTTCATCATTCTTTCAGAAATTAAATAAGAGATATAATTTTGTCAACAATAAGCATTAAAAACATTTATTGTCTGTTTTACAAAAGCGCTGACAAGTACGTTTCGTAATGTTTTTCTTTAACGGTTATGTTGCTCAACGTACAATTAATACGAGTTTGCATAATCAACTTAAGTGACGATACTCACTTCCTTGCTTTTTCTATGAGCGCGCTGAATGGATTCTCCCAAGTATACATCTTGATTGCTTGAATTCCGCTGATAATTTCATTTGTTAATCGCACTCTCTCGTCAGTCCTAATGGCGGTCCTTAATCTCAGCTCCGATGACTTCTTGCCCAGCCATGCTGAGAAAAGGAGGGAACAAGACGTGAAACGCGATTAGGAGAAAACATAGTTAATTTTCGATGATACGCTAACGAGATTTAATTGAACAGAAAAAAGGTTCAATAATTAGGAATTTAGTGATAAATATAGAAATTTGGAAATGTAACAATAAAATTTAAAAAATTTGGAAACAGAATTTTTTAAATTTTGATATTTATGGAAAAAATTTTTTTAAATTACAGTTCAGAAATAATAAAAGATTTCAAGATTTCAGATTAAAGTTTATTGAAACGAATTATATATTGTTCATTAAAATTATTAATTATCACTCATTAAAATGAATTATTTGCTAATTACTATTTATTAAAATGAATTATTAGTTGATTTATTATTTATCAAAATTAATTTTTTAAAAATTCTAAAAGAAACAAAAGAAAATTAAAATTCCAAACGTTAGCAATTTAATTAAAGTAAAAAGACACGCGATTTTCATTAGAAAAATTACTTCTAAATTAAACGGTCCTCAACACGGCATACATATACATATCAAGTCACTTTCAACTCGATCACTCAATTACTTCTATTAATAGAAACAATTAGAATAATTACTTTCTTACCTTGTAAAGGGATGAACATCAGCAGAGAAGCAACACCGATAATAGATGACACTCCCACATCGAGTACATGGTACATGACGTATGTGATGATGATGGTTTCCAAGGGTCCGAGCCATAGATAATGGAGAAATATAATACTGACGTCAAATCTATTGACGTCATTGGACAACAAATTTACTGCCTGGCCGATTGTCGTCTCACCCAGTGCGGTTCTAGTCATTTTTAATGTCTTGCGGTAAATCAACGAGCAGCAGGCCACGCGGACTTTCATGCCCATATGTAAGATACCCATCATGTACGGATGTATGACAAACACATTGAGAGCGGAGCATAAAATGACACCGACGGCGCATCCATACGCATAGGACTTGTCGATGTCCATGGTGTTAAAGTAGAGTAGCATTTGGCCCACCAACAACGGTTGCATCACTCTGCATTGCAAAAGAAAATTCGTCAAGTTATGCAAGAAATTTGTATGAGATTGTCACTTATTTAGAAATTGATTCATATTATGTTATAGGTAATGTGAATTATTCAATGTAATTAATTAGATCCAGAGGAGATTTTATTGAAGAGGAGAAGGGATTGATTAGGAAACTGGATCAAAAATGGTCAATTACTCGTATTTTTGAAATTAGATTAAAGACACATTAACGTTAGAGATAAATCAGAAAATAAAAATAAATTATTAAATTTAATAATAAAGCGGTATTTTCCTCTTTTCTGTGTTAAAGTTATCGTAGATAATAGCAGTACTTTATGCAATGATAAGGGGATTTTCAAGGGCAATAGTAGTGAATCAACGGATCAATAAACACAATATTGCTCTACGTATATGCAGCATCTAAAAGAGAAATTTATGTTCTGGTAATTCCTGATAAACTCTAAGTTGATTTTTTATAAAATCAAGAATTTTAATTTATAAACGATACATAAAAAAAGTTTCTGCAGAAGAAGGAATTTGTTATAATTATAATTTCTGTTAAATAATATTTAATTTAATTTAATTTGAACATTCAAATAATGAAGTTAATTAGATAATTTAAGAAATTCGTAAAATAGGATATATTATATAAAGTAGGAAATATTTATTTAACAATTTAAATATTAAAATATAAATCTCAATGGAAATTAAAAGTTGTGAATTCTAATTCGCTTTTAAATTCATAATTGCATCCCTTCGTGAAATTCTGAACTTATTGTACAATTCTACAAACATTTTTAATCGATTAAATAATCCTTACTTGGTTAATTCAAAAAATATCATAGAAAAGACTCTGTTGATAAAGGCTGATCTGTGAAGGATTTAATTCCACAGAAATCTTCGAAGTTTTCCAATGTATCTTGTATCGCTTTTTGTACTTGTCAAGACAACACTAATGCAGGGAATATAAAAAATTAGGATGAGTTGTTAGGATTTCTTTTTCTAGATGAGAAGTGAAGGAGATTGTACCTGAGTAAGATCTCCATAACGGCCATAAAAAGGCCATACAGTAAAGTCGTCAAACCAAAACATCTGATGAGGACTCTCATCAAGCTGGGCTCCTTGACCTTCTTCTGTGACCCGCTCTTCGCGATCTGCTCCAGCCGACGCTGATATGCCTCGCATTCTTCCTCCCAGGCCTTCGCTATTTTAACACCAAGAATACCACTTGTATGTTCTTTAAGCGGTGTGTACAAATCAGTTACTTCAAGATCTCGGCGGTAACCCACCCAGAAAATGCGTAGGATCCAACTGCGAAGAAGAAAAGCAAAGCAAACATGTTTTACTCGCAAGAACTATGTGCAATTCATTCAGTTCTTACGATTCTTTCGTTAAGGTATTATTCTCTTCTTTTATTTTTCAAAATATCGCTTTACATGCAATTTTGTAAAATTGACCTGCATCCCTCTTTCTAATTTCAAATAGATAAAAACCACGTGATGCCGACATTTAACGCAATCAAATAGAATCCAAGATAACAATCGAGGATATTTTTCTTCTCGTAAAACTCGGCGTCAAGAAAAAAATTCTACAAAATTTAAAATTATCGGATAATATGTTTAAAATAAAAAATGTTACGATATTAAATGTAACTAATTTACACAGTAACGTTAGACAATTGTAATTAATGTCAAAAATATCTCTTAATATGTATTGAATTTATATATAGTGCAAATGTTGGATTTCTAAAATAATCCTTAATAGTTTGATCAACAAAAAGATGCGACTAGTGAAAATAAATATTCGGATTTAAATCATGATTCATCCTTCCGAGAATAAGAATGCAAAAAATTTGATGCAAATCATTTCAATCGTGTATGATTTCCGTTGTCAATTATGTAAATAAAATGTTAACAAAATTTGCTACAACAACATGATTCAAAAAAAAAAATGAAAATGAATTTGAATTTTGAATCAATGAAATAATATTGATTTAAAATGTAATTTTGGAATAATACTGATTATAGAAAAACAAAATTATTTTCAAGCATGATTTCTTTTTTTTAAATTTATTAACAGTTTCAACATATTAATATCTTTATAATGCTTTATAATGCTTGATGATAGCATCAAATTATTAAAATTGCTTTAAATTATTGTCAATTTATTTCGTGATTACTAGAGTAGTTTTAATTGCGTTTATAAGTCCGGAAAAACAATTCGACGTGCAGTTTGAAAAGACTACAATATGATATATATGCAAGTACATATATAGTGTATATTAGTAATTCAAGATTGAATTATTTAAAGCAATGAAGTTGATTCAGCTTCGACCGTAATAGGCATTTTAAATTTCTAATGTTGATTGTGTTTCTTTTTTTTATATTTCATTTTTTACAAACAAAAATATTGTAGAAAACAAGCGATATGCAAAAGTTACCGGACAATAAAGGTCAAGTGTTCGAAGATAAAATTGAGAAATTATTTATCTACAAAATAAACTAAAGAATTACTAAAGAATTATTTATCTATAAAGCGAAAATCCATTTATTATCCAAGAATAATCTGATCTAATGTCTGAGACAACTGAATACGTGCATTTATTTCCATATCTGTCTATCTATTATGATTTTTCCGGAAGATAACTACTCTAGGAAATTTATAATCAAAGTGCATTGTAATCAAAAATGCAAAATAACATTAATTGAGCCTTCACACTTTAATCGATCATTTTGTACACTTACAATGTAAAAAATTTGATGATTAATGAATCAAAAAATACGAAACCTTATCGAAGTATAAAATCAAACAGACCGACAAAAATGTGGTCGGATTAATTCTAATTGAATTATTCATCGGAATTTGATTCTAGATTCCATTTCTCTAAAGTTTTCGAAGATCATTTTAATTACTTTTTAAATATCCATTTATTTACTAGACTACGTTCTATCGTTTTTAAAAAGGAGTTCTCGTCTAGTCGAGATTTGTTAATTTAATTTGATATGTTGATTACATGTAGAGTAATATAAATGTAACAAGGCCTTTTGGCTTCAAATGTAAAAAAAATAATATAAAACAAACATTTTTATATTTTAATATAATCTGACTTTTAATTAATGCATTATTCTAATGTATTGATATAAAATAGTAATTGAATTATAACAAATAAAAGTGTTTTGTTTTATCATCCTTTTTGAATTGGAAATTTACTATGCAGTTTAATGAAGCATAATTAACGTACTCGTATCGCAAATTAAATTAACAAATTTAAATACACAAGCATCATAGATAAATGAACACCACGAACAGTAAAATAATTAAGATAATCGAGAAAAAAGAAGTAGAATTTGAAATTAAATTCCAATGATTTCGATCAGAATTAATTTTCGGAAACTTTTTAATTTTACTATATCCGTACTAACGTACTTACGTATGTAATTTTACGTACTAAGATATTGCATTCTGTGATTCCAGAATCGTGGAATTCTCCTTTTTTTAGCCTCAATTTTATCTTTCTTAACTGAATCTACCTATCGCAAATGACTGTTGCTTTTCATACTCACGAGAACGTCAAGATGCTGAAGATGTTGGCGCCCGCTCGGGGATTCTTTACTTTCTCGTTGTACACTTTTCCATCCATGACGGCGTCTCATAGAAGTCTCTTCTGTAAAGATACAATGAATCTTCAATAGACACGTAACACATAAATCTCATATATACGCGCACATGCCGCAATTACATTCCAGCGTTACTTACAGCGAAAGAGAGAAAGAATACGGTGAAAAGACCTCGGCAGTAATTACACTATGTACCAATTGTGAAGCAACTGCACGATCCTAACCGTTGCCTTTCCTTCCTTCACTGAGAGGAATTACGATTTAATCAAGTCTGCAAAATCTTATCTATGCATTATACATGCATGACGAATCGAATAACGTTGGTGTTCAATATCACTTTATCAGTACATATTTATGTTTACAATCGGATTATGTGCTTCGTCCAAATTGATCCTGAAAACATTTTTTTCGACACTCACGAGTATTACATTATTGCGCGTTGTTACGACTTGTTAGTAGTAGTCAAGAAATAAAAACAGCTGTTAAATTCATATAATAATGTGAAATTACATCCCCAATTTGAGTTATTTTTAATCATTTCTCTAGGTCGCCACTGCTCCTATATATCGGTGACTTAATTAAAACAATAGTTAAATAATTTAATTCAAGAAAACGTATTAAATGTCGAAAATTTTACTAAGTACATTTTAAAACTAATTGAATAATATAGAGTAACATAGAAATTGATTTATTTACATTTTGATACACGTGAAAGTTAAAATTGACAGAATATTATTTTTAACTTAAGGAAATAAGTATATACCATTGCTTCTTTAATATTTAATATGAATACTCTGCCTGGTTTTTGAGAAAAGAAAAGAAAAAGAGAAAATATTGAATACATTCCTACACCTTTCATAATGTGAATCATATGGCCAAAGAGTTCATAAAGCAGTATATGGCGCCAACTAATCACGTGACTATGAGCAACAATTACTCCAGCCAATTATAGAGAGAATTATAAATACATAACTTTATTGGCGCATCTGTTTAAATTCTAACTACTTCCTTATATCTTGCTATCTTGCGATATTAATCACATGAAACATGTTTATCTTACAATAAATATCGTAAGACAAATGTAGGTTAAATCTATGTCAATAGTGTCAAATTTAACCTAACGTTATTTTTTATCAAAACGATAGTTAAATTTGACACTATATTGTGTCAATTTGACTATATAGTGTTAAATTGACACTGTATAACGTCAAATATAACTATTGTTTTAAAATAACGACATATTTAGTAGGAGTAGTGGCGACTCACGTTAGGTTAAATTTGACATTATAGATTTAATAATATAGTGCGGGTATTTAAAATAAACAATGTATCTCATATTGCTCCGAGCAAGATATTTGTCACATGTGTCATTCTGGTGTGCGACTGTAAAGCGTTGGAATTCTGGTTTAATCTACGGCGAATTATATGAATTTCGACTTTCTCCAAGGCAATTCAAATTTAAAATTTAATTTAATCGCAATTTTCAGTTCTTTAATTTATTAGCTATAATAAAGTTTTATATGTACAGTAATAACAAAGTGATCATTCTTAATTTAGATAGGTTTACAGGTATACGAACCTGCGGTTATTTATCTAATATGTATCTATCAGTAGATAAGATATTACTAGTTTTTATAATTTCTATTTGTACTCGGTTTGTAATTGAAGTGGTTTATCTATTTACAAACAGTTAAGGCATTAAAAATTTTTTCTCTTTTATTTTCTCTTTTTCATGTTAAAATTATCATTTAAAAAAATCACAAAGAAACAAGATCCCCAGAATTATTCAATGATACATGATAAAAATATACCAGACGTGAACACAAAAAAGTACTCAAAAGCGAGCATAAAACAATTTTCCAAAAATTCTGGCTTTATAATAATTTTTATATTACTTAACATCTCATATTTTATCTTTCTATTAATTACCGTCTTAATTCATAGTAATCATTAAGATTGCCTTAACAATCGTAATTCAATCACGATAATTTCGGCTTGTTAACTAAAAAAATATAAATTTTCCAAAAAATCTAATTAAAAGTTCCTCGTTAAATGAAAATTTTCACAATAAATTAAATGGCTTCATTATAATGATCATAGATTTGCAAGCAAAGATAAAAAAAATTTCTTCAAAGAAATTTATTTGAACGCGTCTCTTTCTCAACATTTACGAATTCTATATGTATTTTGTCAACACAGATGTACATACAAAGTTTTTTTTATTTACATATATCTTAATCTGAGTATGTACATATATTCATAAGAAATCAAAGCATATCCATTTAAAATTTAATCTACAAGACAGAAATTTTTGACGGAGAATCATCAACAATGTTTTCATCAACTCTGTTCTCGAGCGATAATGAATCAATTGCACTTTCATAATCAAATATTAAGTAATCGATTAAAAAGATGTTATCTGATCTTTAACCGATTATGAATAATATACATACCACGAATAATAGAAATAATATACGTTTATCGTAAAATAAGATTAGAGTGATATATTTTCATTCAGATATCGAAGCGTGAAAAAAATTTCAAGATTTATAATTTTTAATTCTCAATCTTTATCGCAAGATTTGAGCACCTCGGAATGTATTATGAAAATTATATATATATATAT